TTTTTTTTAAATATATTAAATTTTAATAAAAATAGATCAGACATAACAATTTTAATATTTTAGCAGCCAAATATGCCTGCTAACTACTGACGGTTTAAGGGATAAGATATCATCATGTATAATATAATACCAGGCTTGCACTTTTAATTTTTATGTTTGTTCTTTTGAGTACTTCATAAGGATTTTTAACTTGTCCAAATAATTTACCAATGCTTTATAAGACTCCACTTTCATTTTTTTTAAACTAAGTTACTAAATTTCCAAATTTCCAAATATGTATATGTTGTTTAAATAGAAAGTACTATTATTGTTTTATATGCTATCATTACATATTTGACTAAAATTTTAAACTATCTTGCTAAAAGTTCATTATATTTTTAAAGTTTTTGTAGATGCCTTGTGCTCTGCATCTACATTATCATAGCTGTTCTAGCTTTACTATATCCGTTTGTTTTGTTCAACAATTAAAGTTTTTCTGCCTTTGGTATCATATTGCTATATGCATATATAAAAATTTTAAATTATATGATTCTGCACCAAAGTAATTGTCTACAACCTAAATTCCAGTTGCAATCATCAATTAATTTATTCCAGTTTCTGTTTGCATTATTAAATGTAGTTTAGAATTATTAATATAAAAGTTTTTTTTTTCATTTGCTCCTTTTGTTTATCATTTCTTCATTCTTTACTATCAGATCTCCTCCTGGGTCAACTGTAATTCTTGATAATACATCCACATTATCCAATTGTCTTCTTGGTTTATGTTTAATCACGAAGTCGTATCCTTGCAATAACATAATATAGCGAACTATTCATCCAGTAGGGTTCACCATATTATTCAAATATACTAACACACTATGATCCGTAATTAATGTAAACTGAGCCCCATGTAGATACTGGTGAAACTTCTTCACAGCCCAAACAATAGCAGTACACTTCAATTCCATAATTGTGTAGTTTTTTCAGCAGGCTTCATCGATCTACTTGTATATTTTATCACATACTCTTGACTTTCTTCATCACACTATACTAGAACCGCACCAAGGGCTATATGAGAGGCATCAGTATATAGTATAAATCCTTTTTCATCTTGTAGATGCACCAAAACCAGAGCCGTTATTAGCTGTAACTTTAACTTATCAAATGCTTCCTTTTGTTTCTTTTTCTATTGGTAGAGAACATTACTTTTTAACAATTGGTACAGTGGTGCAGCTACCTTGACAAAGTCTTTCACGAACCTACAATAAAAACTACAAGTCCTAAAAATCCATGTAATACCTGCACATTCTTTGGTTCAAGAAAGTCCTTTACTATCTTTATCTTTGACCCTGCTGCAGTCATATCTTTTTTACTAATTTTATGCCCTAAATATATAATTTGTCTTTGTCCAAAAAAACATTTATCTAGATTTAACTTCAAATTGGCTTGCTATAGTCTTTCTAAAATAATATTGATGTGAACCAAATGCATATCAAAATCAGTCAAATATATGTTTACGTTGTCAATGTAAACCAAAGCAAATTTCCACAATTCTTCATGCAAGACACAATCTATTAACCTTTGAAAAGTGGCTGGTATGTTTATTAATCTAAAAGGCATTACTACGAATTCATAAAGGCCGAACTTCATTGTAAATGCTGTTTTCTTCTAGTTACGAGGGTGCATTCTAACTTGCCAGAAACCACTTATGAGGTCCAGTGTCGCATACCAGGCTGACTTCTTTAGAGCTTCCAAGAGCTCATTAATCTGGGCTAAAGGGTAACTATTATGCTTTGTCTTTTTATTCAATTTTCAAAAGTCAATGCAAAAGTGTAACTTTTCATTTTTCTTTCTTACTAGAATAACCGGAGACGCCCACAAACTATTTGATGACCAAATTAAACCAGCCTTTTCCATCCTCTGAAATTCTCATCCAATAAATTCATATTCGATTTTGGACGTAGGATAGAATTGCTGCTTAATCAACAGTCCCTTTTCAGTATGGATTTTGTGCTGTACGACTGTTATTCAGCCCAGTTCACAAAGTTTTTACACAAAAAGACCCTGGTGCATTTTTAACACTTCTTCAAGATGGTTTCATTGTTTTAATGACATTTTTCCTACATTCAATTTATCGATCGATTCTTCATTTTTACTGTAAAGACAAACAGCCTAATTATCTTTCTACTTCTTTTCTAGAATACAATCGATAGCATCATATTTCTTCTTTATACAACATCCACATAGTTTTGCAGGCCCATCCAACATAGGCTGCATTTTGTAAAACAAATATTCTTGATTCAACAAGGCTTTGTTATTATCTGATTCGTTAGTTTCTTCATTTTCATCTGATTCGTTGATTTCTTTATCTTCTTCAACATCAGATTCATTTGATTTTTCTTTATTCTTTGCTTTGGGTTTTCTTTCAGAAAGCATCTTACCCATTATTCGCTCATTGATATTAGCTGGCTTGCAATATTTGGTGGGATCTTTATTTTTTTGTCTTCATCCTTTATAGTTAATTCACAAATTTCCCAATCCAAGCGTACTTGTGCTTTTTTTATTTAGTCATTCTCAACAATCACAATATAGTTTCCAGCTTCAGTCACAACAGCATATAAGGTTATTGTTTTTCCTCCTACTGTTACTGAAAATTGGTCTACTTCACCTAGAGGTCGCTTCTGTTCTCTGTATATTTTTGTTATTAATATGGTAGATGGTCAATCAATCGAAATTTTAAGTTCTTTCAGAAAACTGGCTAACACAATGCAATTCAGAAAACCCACTATCCAAGATAAGAATTATCAGTTCATTGTTAACATGAGCTTCATAGTACATCAATGTAGTGTAACTCCTATTGGTACTGTTTAATTGATAATCCGCCTATGAACTGGAGAATAGGTGAAATGAGACATCTGCTATCTAAAACTTTTTTTCATACTAAGTTAATGACACATGCCCATTAATTGAAAATTATAGAGCTCGTCGAGACGCATCTAACGGTGGTTAGATCATCCAAATCGGCCTAGTGGATGGTGAGATATCGTCGAAATACGATTGGCCGACTATATAAAAATCTGTGACAGAAATTACATATGAAAATCACCATCGGCAAAACGTGGCGTGCTCCCATCTAAAACTTTTTTTCTTACTAAGTTAACGACACATGCCCATTAATTAAAAATTGTAGAGCTCGTCGAGACGCATCTAACGGTGGTTAGATCATCCAAATCGGCCTAGTGGATGGCGAGATATTGTTGAAATACGATTGGCCGACTATATAAAAATCTGTGACGGAAATTACATATGAAAATCACCATCGGTGAAACGTGGCATGCTCCCATCTAAAACTTTTTTCCTTACTAAGTTAACGACACATACCCATTAATTAAAAATTGTAGAGCTCGTCGAGACGCATCTAACGGTGGTTAGATCATCCAAATCGGCCCAGTGGATGACGAGATATCGTCAAAAAACAATTGGCCGACTATATAAAATCTCTATGTAAATAAATATTGTTTACATAGAGACTTTATATAGTCGGCCAATCGTTTTTCGACAATATCTCGCCATCCACTGGGCTGATTTGGATGATCTAACCACCGTTAGATGCGTCTCGACGAGCTCTACAATTTTTAATTAATGGGCATATGTTATTAACTTAATACGAAAAAAAGGTTTAGATGGCAGATGTCTTATTTTGCCTATTCTCCAGTTCATAGGTAGATTATCAATTAAGATCTTTGTGGAGTTGTGTTGCTTTTGGAGTAAATGAATGGAAGAAGTTTTTTGTTATGATTTTCCTATTAGGAATATGTTGATATGCTGCGTTGATAATACAGGTTTGTATCTTATGCTATGTCTTTTCAAGGGATTCTGTTGTGTCAGTGTTAGTGGGAACTTGATGTGTGTCCATATTTGAATTAATTTGGTTTGTGAAAGATTCCCAGTTTTCTTTAGTTATTGATTTGTATTTAAATACTCTTCTTTTGCATTTGAATTTTTGATTGGTTCTAGAAAGTGCAAATAGGAATAACCAGGTTGAGATTAGGATTTGGTGATCACTATTTGTAGAGGAGGATGAGTTATCTATTTCGAATTTATGTAGATATGGTATTAGTATATCACTAGCCCATATATAGTCGATTCTAGTTTGATATTGGGTACTTTGCCAGGTGTGTTGTAGGTTATTTGTATGGTCAG